CAAATTCAGCTTTTGAAATACAATTTTTTGATTTCAAAGAAGTTAATCCTGAACAAATAAATTCAGAATCATGGTTTTTAAAGTAAAGATTTTCAATGCTATGAATGCAGTGGTTTTTAATTTCAATATGAAGAATTCCGTGGCTGTTAAAATTCAAATACTTTTGGTCTCTTATTTGCTTCCACACCAATAAGGTTCAGGTAGAGAATCAAAGCTCTCGATAGATTCTTGGTCCAATCCTATCAATGAATTTGCAATTGTTGTTGTGTTTCAATGGGAAATCAGCTACTACACTGGATACTTATAAGTTTCTGACATCACAATAATAATTATTAACATGCTGTGATCTTTTGCTGAGAACAAGTCGTCCTGCAGGACTGGTGTCATCTGCAGAGACACCAACACAGGAGGAACATCTGCTGGATTATATCATCTAAAATCAATAAGTGGAAGACTATCAGTTGACCAAGATTTCCTCCTTTTTGAGGACATTCCTGTGAGTTACATCATCTAAAAGCTCTCTGTTTGGATACCTCAGTCTTTATGTGGCAGGTCTGCTGTGATTACAACTTGAGTAATTGGTTCTGGAGGGCTGAGCTGTCTTTCCCCTGTAACAGCAAGTCAAACACTGTAATTCATCCGTCTTTTCCTTGTTATCCAGGGATGATAAACTCAGAGAGAAGCTGGCCTGTCATCACCAGACCAGACCCCCACACACCTCTATCTTTCATCCGTCTCCTGCTGCTGAGTTATGGGTGATGGAAGGGATGAACAGGGGGGAGTCGAGAGGGAATCACCATCACGTCGTACATCAGCTCCACAATCCCCCCATCCTGACTTCACCCTCACACACACCCTCACACACATACACACACACACACACACACACACACACACACACACACACACACACACACAGCTGATGTAACAGGTCAATCATGTTTGATTTCTCTCCAGGGACCGCCCTCTGGCAGCTCTGATTGCTGCTGTTACCTTCACCTCCCCCAGGCAGCCTCGCCCGGAGCGTGCACACAACACACGTCCACACATGTGCACACACACACTTAATTACACACACATACACAATCTTGTCACAACACTGATAGCTAAATTACCTGCTTAGGTTGGTTTGTGCTGCCTCTGTAGACTCTTCTGTCACGTGTGTGTGTGTGTGTGTGTGTGTGTGAGATAGTGTATATGACCATACAGGACCTTGGTGCAGGGTAAACATCAAGGCCAGGATGGTCACTTTGTTGGCAGATAATTGTCAGGCAGACATTACATCAGACACACACACACACACACACACACACACACACACACACACACACACAGTGGTGGGGGAAGTATTCAGATCCTTTACTTCAATGATTGTTTGGTTTTAAAAATGGCGAAAATAGTGAAAAAATATTCCTCACAATGACCCAGATCTCAAAGTGACACTTTCACAATGTCTGCTTGTTAAGCATCCTGTAAAATTCACCTGAATTCACACGAAATGCCTATCCAAGGCATACTTACAGTAAACTGAAAGCTGTTCTTGATCTATTTTTTAGTACATGTACATGCATGGTCTCATTTGAAACATAGGCTAACACTCTGATTTTTTTCCCCCAACAGTCAGAATCACTCTTAGTGCTCCTGTCTGTGAGATATAAGTTTCAACACACCTTCACTGTACCATAAAACATGTGCTGTGGTACACATAGCAAATCATTTCATAGTTCATATTTGTTTCCTGGAAACCAGCAAAGCACTGCAGGAGGTGCATGTTGTTTGAAAATATTCTCAAGTTTAAAAAAAAGTTCATTTAATCACTTTTAGTAATTTATTTTTACTCCATCTTTAATTTTACCTAAATCTTTATAAACTTGAAACGGTTGTGTGAATCCTTTGTGAAACATTCAAATTGCCAGCTGGATAATGAAATTTTCACTGTGACCCACTGGGACGTGTTTGAACTCACCGACGATGGAGAGAATGACCACCACAAAGTCAAAGATGTTCCAGCCGACAGTGAAGAAGTAGCAGCGCAGCGCCATGATCTTGATGAGGCACTCTATGGTGAAGACGATGATGAAGGCCAGGTTGATGTTGTTCAGGATGTACTCCATTTGAGGTGACTGCTCGTCCGTCTCCACCATCATGGTGATCATGTTAAAGAGGATCAGCACCATAATGATGATGTCGAATGCCTGCTTCCCCACCAAGTCGAAGAAGAAGCCCTGCAGAGAGTTCTGGAGAGAGAGAGATCATCCATTTGGTTCTAGTATTAATCAACATTTAGCTCATGCATGTTTTTTTGTTTTGTTTTGTTTTTTACCATTTTTTCCCTCATTAAAGTTTTTTTTGTTTTGTTTTGTTTTTTTTGTTTTTCCTTATCCGCTGTGAGGGTCATAAGGACAGAGGGATGTCGTATGCTGTAAAGCCCTGTGAGGCAAATTGTGATTTGTGATATTGGGCTTTATAAATAAAATTGAACTGAATTGAATTTTGTGTTATGAATGCTTTCATATACTTTCTTTTGGAACAATGTTGCTGTTACCTAGGGAGGACAAAAAAAGACTTACATATAAATAGAAAAATAAATAAATAAATAAATAAATAAGTACCAAAGTAAACATAGAAAAGAAATACAGGAATAAATACCAAAAACAAAACAAAAATAAATAAATAAATAAATAAATATAGAAATAAATAAATATAGGGATTAATAAATACATTCCAAACTAAATAAATAAATACCAAAATATTTAGATAAATAAAAAGAATAAACGTGGAAATATATATACGGAAATAAATGAATATAAATAAATGTAGCTGAACAAAATGACCAAATGAATGCTACAGAAACGTACATTACACATTATCCTACTGAGTCAACACTAATATCACCACGACTTTACGGCTGTTAATAACCTGTTTAATGTGTTTTGTGTGCAATATGTCTTTCATATTTACATTTAACTGTTTGTTTAATTATTCATTATTAATTTTAATAATTTCATTGTACTTTTAAATTTCTCTGTAAAAGCTTTTTGGTCAATTAAAATGTGCTCTGTTCATAAGTCATCTTGATTTGACTTGACATTTTTGATAACAAGGCTGGTATAATCAAAACTGAAGAGACTTTAAATTGAAATTTGAATATGTATATATATTACATTTTAGTTCATAGATTTTGGCCATGATTGGATGTATCAGTGTTTAAATGCCGAGGTGTGTTGTGTTGGTACCAGAGGTCTGGGGATCGGTTTCTGAGGTTTCTTGGAGCCCAGTTTCTTCATGGCATTGTAGTATTTCTTCTGCTCCTCTGTCATGAAGATGTCCTGTCCTCCTAAGTAAACAAACAACAACAACTTTGTTATTTTCACAGCAACATGTTTCCTCACAACATTTCAAACTCAAATAATAAACAAACAAACAAATAAATAATTAAATATAATGTGTTACTATTTTCTTTTGCATTTATTTGTATTTATTTGTTTTTGCTATGGTACTTATCTTCCGTTTTTGCTGGTTGAAGTTATCGATGATGACACCAATGAAGAGATTGAGGGTGAAGAAGGAGCCAAAGATGATGAAGATGACGAAGTACAGGTACATGTACAGATTGATCTCCTTGATAGGCTGCTCCTCAACCTGACAAGAACACACACATCATTTCAAAAAAGAGGAATACACATCCTGTTCTACCTTATCGTTATTATTTCTTCTTCAGCCTCTCATATTGTCTCATCTCCTCTCACATTATCTTCATTTTACCTGATTTCTCTTTTAGTTTATTACCTCCCGTTTCATTCGAAACCTTCATCTATCATCGTTTCCTCTTTATTTTACTTCAGTTTTAAACTCACCCCATCACTTGATTTATTCAGTGTCACCTGATGTTATTTCTCCATCACTAATCACATTTGAAAAGGGAATTCATATTTCTCTTCACACCTGATTTAACATATTCTCACCTCATTTCTATCTTCCAGTGTAAATGCCCTTTGACTTTTTTGCACCTTTTATGCCCTCTACTGCTTGTCTAATCTCAAAGAACTTGGTTTACTTTTTACATTTTATCCAATTTAAGTGTTTTTAAGACATCTCTTTTATTTTATTTTTGTAATCAAGTAAAACATTTTTATTTCCATGTGTAATTATTGAATTTAATCTTAATTGACCTCACCTAATCTAATCTATTTGAGGTCTATTTTGACCTTTTTGTTGCAACTGGAAACTCATCATCTTGTCTGAACTAATGTCTCTTCACCTTTTTATTTTTACCTATTAACTGATTTTTAATCTCATCTGTAGGTCAAAACTACCAGCATATTTGGGCCATTGTAGTTAAAAAACAAAAACAAAGAAACAAACAACAACAAAAAGCAAAACAAACAAACAAAAAGAAAAGATCCAGGTTCAGAGCCTGGGAAGGGGGATAATATTCTGAGAAAAACTTCCAAGATGGTAAATTTAGGAGAAAAAACTTGGATATTGTCTGAAAAAACACATCTCCAAAACCTTTTCAGATCTGGGGTGCCCATGAGCTCACCTGGAAGAGCGGTCGCCCCATGTACAAAGGCCATGTCCTTGCTGCAGCGGCTGTGGGTTTGATTCAAACTCTGGCCCTTTGCTGCATGTCATCCCCTCGCTCTCTTTCCATTTCATGCTAGAGCATTCCTATCTAATGATGCAAAAATGCCATTAAAGCCCCAAATCCAATCTATTCTGAGTTTTTTCTCAAAGTATGTCCGTATCTTTATCGTCTTTGCCCCCCTTTTTTTTAATTAATTAATTTTTTTTTACCTACAATGGCCTGAATACACAGTTTTATACAACTGACCGGGAGGAACTTTACACTTTAACTTACAGCTCGTGAATCCACCGCTGCATACATAATCTCCATCCAGCCTTTGAAGGTTGCCTTGGAAACAAACAAACAAACAAACAAAAAGATTAAATAGCAGCCAGTTGTGATTGGTGTGGAATATAATGAATATGTTATTACTTTTTTACCTAAAGATATATTTAAGTTGATGTATCATTATAATGTTGATAATTATCTTTGTGTGAGTGTGAGTATTCTTTCAAATATATTTTTCCCCTTCCATAATTGCTCTGATTTTTTGTATTTATAATATATAAAACAAAATATATTTTTTTTATGTGTGTGTGTGTGTGTGTGTGTGTGTTTATTATCAGTAACGTTATATATGTCAGCATCAAAATTTGACTTGAATACATACTGACATAAGTACATTTGACTGTATATAGGCATTTTTTCCTTTTTCCTTCCTTTAATTTTTTTTATGCACAGATACCAGACTTGTAGAAAGACTCCCGCATGCTTTCTTCTCACTTGAAACATTTATTTTGCCAATGTTTCGGTCACAGACCTTTGTCAAGGCATCAAAAAGGCATCAAATGTTTTTGATGCCTTGACAAAGGTTTGTGACCGAAACGTTGGCAAAATAAATGTTTCAAGTGAGAAGAAAGCGTGCAGGAGTCTTTCTACAAGCCTGGTTGCTGTTGTCCTCCTCTGACGCACCTTTCTGAAAACCGGTGTGCAAAAGTTTTCCACTTTTTATGCACAGATGAAATTTTTTTTGTGTTACCATTGAAACTGCACGAGTATAGCATGAGAATAGGAGTATCCACATAGTGTATGTACTGCAGTCTTTAGTAACAGTATATGTCAGCCCTTGACCCCTTTTTTCTCTTATTTTGCTTTACTTTCAACACTTTTATCAATGCAAGAGACAAACTTGGAGCTTCTGTTTTCCTGCCTGTATGTGTGTCAAGAGTGTTCTGAGTGTCTCTGCTCTCACATCACCAAGACAACGTCCTGCACATTTCTTCCACTTGAGTGCATAACTGAACAAAAAGGATCTCAAAGCAACATTCCCGTTTTAGCAGAAAATTAGCAGACAGACAGAGAGTGTCAGAGTGCCATGGAAACACCGCCGCTGTGTTTTTCTCAATGAAAGATCAACAAGTCCTTTTATGGACTTCCTTCCTCAGCTGGGGGTAAGAGGGTTGAGAGGTGGGTAGGGAGGGGGGAGCAGGTGGAAGTAAGGAGAGAAAAGATGCAGATGTAAAGTAACAGCATACTTTTCTCTGAGTGGGCGCCTGCCATCTGTCACTCAGACCTGAAATCAGCTTGTCGCCACGGGTTACCACCTGTTATTATTATGGTGTGTCGGATGTGAGCGAGAGGGGGGCACGCTGTGAGAAATGACAAGCTCAGCCAGCGATTTTTAATGGATCTGAAGAATCTATGACAGAGGGGTTACACAGTACATTTACTCAAGTACTGTACTTACATCCAAATTTGAGGTACTTCTAATTCTCTGGCTATTAAATAGTTTGCAAAACATTTAATAGGAAGTGGAAGCAATTAGTCCATTAATTAGTTAGAAAAATAATAAATTGTCTTCAAAGTAAAAAGGCCACATAAATGGATAAATAACATTATCTTCTTTTAAAAGGGCAGTGTGAAGGATTTAGTGGCATCTAGCATTAAGGATTGAAGATTACAAGCAGCTGAAACTTCTCCTGGTTAGAATTCCATCAGTGTTCATTGTTCAGGAGGTTTTTACTGGGAGCTGAATTATCAACAAATGTCTCTTCCTCTCTGAAATAAACAGACCAGGTGATTTAAACTGGTAAAAACACTGAATAAAGCAGTTTCATGTTAGAAAAAAACAAACAAAAAACCCCCCATTTTTTTCTGATGCTGTTTGACTTGTCACTGAACCCTTTTATAAAAATTTGAACAATATCTGTCTGCCATGACATCGCCTGAGCTGGCTGCTCGTGGGGAGCCTTGTCCAAGCTCGCCACTGTTGCTGTTTAGAGGTAAGCCCCACGCACAACCCCACCGCCAGCCAGCCATGTTTCCTCTCTGCACACTCTGTGTTAGAGAATGAAGTTGCCTAGACATGACCTGAGTCAAATTATCAGTCATTCTTGTAACAGCTACAATGGCTGACGGCGAGACTAAACCCAAACGACCTTGTTATGATTCCCAAAAATGCCAAGACAAAACTCGAGGAAAAGCAAGGGTCTATATAGGAGATGCTTTTGAGCGGTGGAGACAGTTGAAAGCAGAGAAGAATTTGAAATCCGATGTCAAAGTGGCTACTCTTCTCCTCGACAGGTAAGCTTTAGCCAAAGTTGGCTAACTAGCATCATAGCTAGACGGGGATGGACATTTCGAATACTTTCAACTGTTATTCATTCTCGATCATACATTGTAGCCCATGTGCAGGTGGGTCATCGACCCGACTGATTTTTTTTGAGAAACAAACCTTAGCAGCACAGCAAGCAGCATTAGCAGTGTCCTGGTACATAACATTAGCAGCAGGCTCCTCCTGTATCCCGGCAGCAGCGTTAGCAGCAGAGAAGCTGGACTTGCTCGAATGGTCTGCTGGAAAACTGAAGATCAAGGACGCGGTGACGCGACCCTGCTACAGCAGCCGCCCATGGGCAAGCAATTCAGTCTCCAGCATGCCGCTGTCCAGCAACCTTGAATCTGTAGGGGAGGGGGGGCGGACACGACTCGCGGCAGTATTTTGAATTTGAGTGCAGTAACCGTTTTGGCCACATTCTTACATACGGCGCCTTTAAATACCTGCTACCTTTGTTTTAGGACATTGTTGGGGTTTTTGTTCTTTTAAAAATGTTTGAGTTATGGAGAAGTGGTAGGACCATGTAAGTGTATACTTATTTCTACTCCTTTTTGGAAATGTATTTATGTTTTTACGAGTTTGTATGCCAAAAGTTTGCTACATGGTTACTGTTCAGTAAATCAAATCAAATCAAGCAATTTATTGAGAGAGGAACTGAGAGATTAATCTGGACCCACAGCTGTGTTTAATCAGGACTTTGGACCTTCTTGGTCGCATGTTTGCTAAACTTCATGAAGACGGATGCTGATATGTTGTTGCTGTAAATGTGGAAACTTCATGCTCACCATATGAAATGTCTACAGTTGTCAGTGAACTGATTGTTCAGACGTTCACACATCCTGAGATCAGTAAAATCTTTCCCTGCATCAGTTTTGCAGCCTGGAGCTATTTCCAGATGCTAATGGAAGGGTTGCCCCCACCAACCGTTGCCATGCCGACCAGCCAAACACGCAGAGAGGAGCCAAGCCACTCGTTGCCATGGCAACCGCACTCTGACAAGTCTCAAGTTTCCTGGTGGCTGAAGTAGCAGCAAACTTCTTTACCCTGTATTCTCTGCTCTCTAACAAACCTGTAAGACTTCTCCTTTGCTTTATTTATGTTTTCTTTATCTTTTCAATTTTTGTGTCCGTCAATCCCTCGTCTTTCCTCTGTTCTATTTCCATCTATTTCCTCTCCTCTCATCTCACCCATCTTTTCTCCATCTCCAATGTCTCACTTTTCCTCCATTCATCCCACATCTGACCGCCCCTTGAATCCCTCCCTCCTCATTATCTCTCTCCATCCCTCCATCTCTGCTGTTTCTTTCTTACTGTTTGCTGTTTGAGCTTTAATTTTCTTACTTCACTTGTACTTTTTCTTCCTCCCTCCATCTCTCCACTTCCCTCCCACTTGGCTGGAGTCGCTCTAAAAATAAAAGCCTCTCAGACGCTGATTGATTGGAGGCTCTCAGGACTCCCGTGGTGGGCGACAGAGAGCGAGAAGGAAAAGAAAGAGCGAGAGAGAGAAACAGAGGAAGGAGGGAAATGAAGGCTTGTATGGAAAGATGGCAAGTGATGGAGAAATGGAAAGAGGAGGAGGCAGGGGCTGTATAATTGGCTTTGTTCATGTTGTGTTTAATAACAGATGATGGAGAGATGGGGAGGGAGGGTGAAAGAGAGATGAAGCAAGAAATGGACGAGGTGAGGGTAGAAAATAATACAGAGTAAAGAAAAAGCAGAACAGATGGATAGAAATTCAAAAACAGGAGAGAAAAATTAAAGCTTCGGGAAGTCAATCAAAGCAAAGGAAAGAAAACTGATGGACAGAGAGAGACAGAGGGTGTAAAAAGATATAATAAAGAAAGCAGGACTTTAGAAATAAAATAGTTTCACACTTATTTAGCATTCATAAGAACTAAAGAAACATATGATACATGGTTTTTAATACACTATAATGTAGTTGCATGCAGATATATGTCTATTAATGTATGTTTATATCATTACCATTTCCCTGTGACAGTTTTTATTTATTCATTTTATTTTATTCATTTTTATTCTAATCTATTTATATCTATTTTATATACTGGTATATGGTATATACTGGTATATAAGATTTTTTTCTTAATTTTTTACTTCTCAATTTATTCAGTCTTGATTTTGTTTACATTAAGTGATGTGTAATTCATTTTATGTATGCATTTTATTTAATTATTGCTATTACTTTAATTCATTTATATTAATTTATTTTTACTTTATACTCTGGTTGACATTAAAAAAATATTTTTAATCTGTTTACATCTCTATTTTCATTTTTTTCACTCTTGCTATCATTTCTAAAAGTTTGGTTTCACTCATGAATTTTAACGCTTTTATGTGTCTTAAAAAAGGTGGTTGCTAACAAATGGCTAAATGGACTACGTAACGTTATCACAGCGAACATGGCTTAACAGTGGGGTGACATTAAGTCATGCAACCGCAGTTTGTAACCTAAGGTTAAGCAGTGATTATGGCCTACATTTTTAGATTCTATCTGGAGACAAACCTTTTTTTCATCCTACACTTTTGCTTGAATATAAAAATGACTTTTTGTCCAAAAAACAAACAAACAAAAAAACCCAACCTCAAAATCCAACATGGCTGCTCCACACATCAACAGCAGTGAAAGCTGTGGTTATATTCTCTTTATTAGCACTTCTGTCTTATTTTTGTCTCATTAAAAAAGCCGAACACAGTCCTTTCCAACTTCACATCTGTGG